CTAAAACCGTCTTGGGAACGATCATTTCAAAAGTCAGGGTAGGTAATGTTTTCATTGTCGTGGGTGTTCAGGATGTCATAATGGATGTCAATGTATTCCTTATTGTGGGAACGCACCGATACTGGGTCTGATATCACCTTCTAGTACTTGTACTTATAAAAGTCCAATGCTACACACCAATACCACTTAACTGCATTAACCTGACTCTGGCTGAGCCAGTGGTTCACGGATATTTTAAGATAAATGATGATGACAGACGTAAAGCCGACTGTGGGCTCTGGCTCTTTGCTCTGTTGTCTGTGAGCGCCCTCCCTCCCCGGCTCAGATGGACACGGTCACTTTTTACAGAGACATCAATGCTCAATATGTGCAGCAAAACCAACAGTAATGCAGAGAATAATGAATCAAAGCCCTGTTGAACAAGCTGAACACGACAACAGACCATAGAAATGCAACGTCCTTGCTCTCCCCGCAGTCAAAACACCTAGACCATTCACCCACCAAATTCACACGGTGCTCGTTAATGCTGGTTGTAATGTATCATTGAGAACAAGAAAACGCAACTGCTAATTTGATGTAGTTAACAGTGGAGTCTAATGAGCTGTGTGTGTGAAGATGAGTTGTATTCTTGTGGAGACCAGGGACATGTCCTGCAGAGAGGACAGGCACCAGTTTAAAGGAAGAACATGTACCCTTGTTAAATTAAACCTTTAACTGCCGAATGTGATATTACACACTCCCAGACTTGCTGTGTAATAATTTTGTCGCACTACAAAGGCTAGAAACCGCCTGTTACAGTATGTGGCATAGTAGGCTACAGACAGTTGTATGTTGTATTCAGTAGGAATGGTGGTAGTGGTAGATTTTGGTGGAGATTGTGATTTTTACAGTAGAAACACTACACTTGTATCGGTACTCGGTATCAGTGAGTACTCCATTCTCCTTGGCGTGTGCACTGGGCTGTAATGTCGAGGTCAGGTGCTACATTTCTTTTTTGTAGCACAAGACAACCAAAGAGATTCAAGGGTCATTCTCTTCACTGACCATGTAATAGGTACACAGTGCGTGCACTCACACAAGCTGTGTCTGTGCCAACTAAAACACAAGCGTTGGAGAGTGCACACATTGAGAGTTTTATATCCATTACATGTAAAGTCTTTCAAATAGACACTGTGTAGCTGGTCTACCATTGTGGTGCTTGTGTGTGTTTGGTGTTTGCAGAGTAATTGCCACTTGTTAGGAGTCCCAGAGTGCAGGCTCAGAGTCATTAACTGCTGTTTCCGGCTCTTTCCCCTCTCCTCCCCCCTTTTACCTGTGCTAGTGATACCTCCATTCTTTCCTTTACCCTCATGTGCCCCCCCCCCAAAACTGCTTTGTTACCTCTCCAGAATCTCCCCAATCTCTGTTTCACTCTCAAAAACCCCCCTTTTGTGCATTGCACTAAATTGTCTCTAATTTTATTTTGGCTCATTTAAGATCATCTTTGTGTCTTTCTTTCTTTTTGTTATTACCACTCTTCATCCTCCACCCTCAAATAAGTGTTCAGCCCTCACCTTCTTCAATTGCTTCCTGCTTCTTCCCTCCCCTCTTGCTCTTGGGATTTCTGTCCATTCTCACTGGAATAAGGAGCCTTAACAGCACTACCTGAATCGGCCCTGTGTTTTATCAGAAAGCTCACCGACGTCCACATGGCTGCATGTCACATCCACTTGTGTATACACATGGTCTGTCAGTGTTCATATTCTCACAAGTCACTTTTGTAAGTGGTCTGTTTATTGAAAACACAATGAACAGAACAAATGTGAATTGCACCCATGCTGATTTTGTTAACATGATGCTACGAAGAAGAGAAATCAAAGGTCCATTTAAGTGTGATTTATGTTTGTTATAATCTCAGCATTAAAACTGAAGGTCTTTGGGAATAAAAACTCTGAGCAGGTTTTCTTCTGCGCATTATACATATATATATTTACATACAGCTGTATTCACATGTGTTAGTGCTGCATTAGCAGCTCTTATTTGCAATATAGCCATGGGCACAAAGACGGTCACCAAATCACTTTGTTGCTGAAGAAGTCTGGATGATTTCTCACGCAGGTTCTGGAGTTATAAGGGGCTTCTCTTTTTGTGATTTTATGTGGGTTTTGGGGGGATTCATTTTTACATTGAAGATAATGATTTGCTTAGGAAGTCCAAGTCACACTGAACCTAAAATTATGTGCATCCAATCGGTGTGCTGAGATTTACAAACCCCACTTCCAGAAAAGCTGGAACATTTTCCAAAATGCAATAAAATGTAAAATCTGTGATTTGTTCCTTCACTCCAACCTCTGTTTTCACTTTTCTGTTTAAATGCATTTTGTAAATATAAACAAATTTTGAATTTGACGCCTGCAACACACTCAAAAAAAGGTGGGACAGAGGCATGGTTACCACTGTTTACGTCGCCTTTTAATGACACTTTTTAATTATCTGGGAACTGACGATACTAATTGTCCATTGTTGCTCGATACAAGACTTCAGCTGCTCAACAGTCCGGTGTCACTGTTGTCTGATCCTCCTCTTCATGATGTGCCACGCCTTTTCAATAGGCGACAGATGTGGACCGGGCCAGTCAAACCTCCGGATTTAAGATATTTTGTTGCATAGTTGCAAAAGTGTCTTTATAAACAGCTAAGACACTTCCCAGCAGTTTTATTGAAGAAGGGCCAAACTTCAAACTTGAAATGCAAATGTTCACCAGCAGAAATACTGAGTTGGAGATGAAAACATTTCAGTGTGAACAGCGTGCATCACTTAATACTAGACAAAAAATAATAATTTTGGACCCAGTCCAACAAAAACTACTTTTCTGGAACGGTCTGAAACCCCCAGCTGAGTTGCCACACATTCGAAGTGTTTGAATGACTGATGAACTCGCTGACCTCAAGTTTCCTGGTTTCCTGTTTTTCACTTTGGCCTTTCTGCAGATGTGGGGAAAACAAGTGGCATGTTGTCTTTGGGACAGAAACGTGACTGTTTTTACAGTGGTATAGATAAACAGTTTATGTTTTACTAATTGTGTGTCTTCTGGAGCCACAGTAAAAGTGACCGTGCCTTTGTAACATATTCCTTCTAGATCCATAACATCCAACCTTTATTTCACACATTTCTGCCAACATGCTGCTTTTCCCTCTCTTCCTCTCCCTCCCTTGTTTTCTCTGTCTCCTTCTTTTTCTCCCTCCAGCCTCGCTCTGTCTGGAAGCTGCTGAGGAGCTGAATGGTCAGAGCCAGGATGAAGTCATCATGTCATTATATCATTATATTCTCCTTTTACCTTTTTTAGTCACAGAACACCCATAAGCGCGGGGGCATAGATTGCCTGTCGATGGGAGCGAGACACACATACACACACACACACCACCCTTTTTAACCCTGTTATGTGCCCACTCATTCCTCCAGCAGGCCCAGTCCTTTCCATGTCGACTCCCTCAGAGTTTCCATGACAGAGCCGCTTTAAATGGCCACAGTCATAGTTCTGTTTGGAAAATGCTGTGTAAAGTGACGGTGACATTCAGTGGATAATTCTCTGCTTTTCTCAAGAAATAATCATCACTTGGTGAGAAAAGCTTTGAAGTTCCACCAACTTTCATTTGGAAAATGCTGGTGTTTTCTTGTCACCTCAGTTTGTCCAACAAAGAACAACCATCACTGCCTGTATGATGCCAAAACCAGCCGTTCAACAGAAGATGAAGCTATTTACACGCTGCTTTGTTTTTATTTATTTCTATTATTTAGTTATTAGTTAGCATAAATAAAACATTTTTATCAGTTGCTTGTTTGGCTTTAGACAAATACTGAATAGAGCTCAACGTGTGTGCACGGGTAACGTGTTGTTAGAGGCAGCTCACTGGCACACCTAATGATGCTGGCGCTGTTTGCCACACATGCATTCCATAAACATCTTTTACCATGAAAACCATCAGCCTCGGCTAATTACAAACAAGCGTCTTTTCAGCTACTTTTCCAGTCAGTGCATTTGTGTGTGTGTGTGTGTGTGTGTATGTGTGTGTGTGTGTGTATTCCATGATAAAAACATACACACTGTTTGCCACGGACAAACTTTAAACACTGTGGCGTGCTCACACACACAGAGTTTCTTTCGCGGTGTGTGTATGTGAGTGCAGGCTGAGTAAACCTCACAGGCCCAGGGTGAATAAAGGTGCCTTTTGTCAGGCCCAACGTGGGTTTGGGCTGTGGGTGAGGGGGCGGGGGTGTCCAGTCTGGAACAAGCATGAATGTTCTTTCAGTTCCCTCAGACATCGCACTTTCCTGCCTACTTTCACAGCAGCACTAGAAAAGAGCCAGAGAAAGGAGGAGGAGGACGATCAGGGTGGAGAAGAGAGGGGTGCCAGGGTGGAGGTGGGGTGTATTTGAGGAGGTGAGTGGGAAGCCGGGGGGGTGGGGCCTGCACCAGCCAGTGAGCTCATTGGAACAGCGTTGTTGTTTTATCCTCCTACCAAGCATGTAGTTTTTGGAAGGCATACGAGCCGCCGGCCGGCCAGATCCCTCAGTCGCCCCTTACTGCTGCAGCAGAGAGGAGCCACCCCCGTCCCCCCTCCTGCCTGTAACACTTGCCCCCACATGCACACATACTTCAGCCAGCCTGACTCACCCACAGACACCGTCCTGCATTTGTGAGTTAGCGAGTTGAAGTGAAAGATCTGTACTCACGCGTCTGATGCCTTCCCTTGACTAGCAGAACTTGTGCCCCCTGCACTGAGTGAGTTTTATTGGCTTTTTGTCTTTTTTTTTTCTTCTCCAACCTCAGTGTTTTTCCCTCCTTTCTGAAAATTTTTGGGGTGTTTTTCCGAAGCATTTCCTTCCTTTCATCATCATCAGCATGCGACGGCAACAAACCCTGAGAGCAGGCAGGAGGAAATCAAGTATAGAGGTGGGAGACGGGAGACAGAAAGGTGTCCTAACTGGATTTGTTTTGTCTCTCTCTGTTTCTCCCTCAGCCATCTGGTGCTCTGGTGGAAAATGATCCTCTGGGCCCTCTCCCTCCTGGATGGGGTAAGTGAGCCTAACCCGTTGCTTGTACTTACATTCCAGACAAAGATAATTTCAGGGAAGGGTGCTGAACTGTTGGTCTTGAGGTTTGCTCTCTATTAGTGAGCTAGATTTTGGTCAGTCTGAATGTCCTCCGCACCTGCTGGAGACATCCATTTTTAGATAAATCTGGCCAGTCAGGACTGGATTCTTGGGTCTGAGCTGTTTTCAATCAGAACCTGCACCTCTTGCCAGTTTAGTGTAGGTATTTTTGACAGTTCTTGCCAGTAGTGAAGCAATGCATTTTGTCAAGATATAACCCCAGGCTTCTTGATTTAGTTACTTTAAGTCATTTGAAATGAGTTTCTCATGTCTACAAGCAGTTGTGAATAAGTGAAGTTTGGGTAAAGTGTTGCAAAAAGTTTGTTCTAAGAGAGCCTGTGCACATTGCTGATGATTTTAATCCTTTCTGCAACTTTAGAAACGATGCTGGTTCTGGGGCTTTTCATATTTGCTTGAAGCTCTTCCCAGTGAGCAGATTAGTTCTTAACTGACTGATTTATATGTCCACTTGAATAGGATCATTTTGTTGTAGAAGATCTGGATAAAATATCTATTGGTTTGTTTTCAATACTCTTCTCATGTTACATCAGTTCGCCGCTGTACACACTCCCTTTACTCTAAAGCCCACAAATTACAGAGGCCGCATTATTGATGGGGCTCTTCGCCATCCACCATTTTCCCAAATGTAATAGGAGTGTACCCAGAATCATGTCACACACATTGATAAACCAACAGCTCACGTTTTCCCAACATCTTCACAGACGTTATAACACGGCCATGTTCTCTTGCTCCCTGACCATGATGCCTTTTAGACATGTTGTGGCACCTCAAGTTGGAGGGGAAGGAAAAGAGACAGTGGTAAATGCAAGAAACTGAGGGAGGGTAAAGTGGATAGTAGAGTGGGGGGTGGAGTAAGTCAAGGAGAAAGTGAGTAAGAGTTGCAATGTGAGCCCCACTGTTTCTGGGCCCTCCACACACTCCTGTTAATGAGAAAAAGATGTCAGCATGATGGAGGAAGGAGGATAGGGCACCAGCTACTCGCTTGAGACCAGCGGCCTACTACACACATACACACACACACACACTCCCATGAAGTGTATTTCTGGTTTTAAGATGCTTCAAATGTAGTAGTTTTTGAAATTTAATCTTGGTTCATATTTGACCCCAACCTAACTTTCAGATGCCTCCACCACAGCCATAATTCCACACACACACTTAGGTTTACCCTGACGAGGTATTTGGATCAAGCCATAATGAAATACCACACAGACTTGCTGGTTTCTATCACAGTGGGGTGGATTTTTTTCCCTGGTTGTCACTGTTTGAGCCATTCGAGCGACCCCATTAAAGTATCCTGGAGTTTTTAAAGTTTTTAAAAATCTTCACACTTTGAATATCACAAATCCCACAAAGATGGCTTTTCTGTTTCTCTACAGAGAAGCGTCAGGACAATGGCAGAGTGTACTTCGTCAATCACAACACACGTACAACACAGTGGGATGATCCGCGGACCCAAGGGTGAGACCGAGCTAGAAAAAGTACTCCTGTCTGTGTGCATGTGTTTGCCTGCTTGTTGGATGGTACATCGCTTTGGGTGTTTGCTCATACAGAAAGAGATATAATCATCATCCACAGTTCACTATGACAACAGAGTGAGCCGTACATTACAAGATCAGACCACGCATATTTCCCACTGATCAAATTGATTACTATTCCAGGAATGTCTTGGAATAATGTGGAATTTAAAGAGTGGTGTTCCCAAAGGAGGAAATATTCCATGGAAGTTTAAAACCTACGGAGTTTAGAGGAACATGGCAAATTCTTATTTTACAAATGAACTGTTCTGAGTTGAAAAAAAAAAAAGACAGTTAGCTTCCTCTACATGTGTGCATGTAGTTCATATCACTCCTTTCCAAACCTCAAAAGGCCAGAGCAACTTGTAAACTTTGTCTGGCATCACCCACTATTTCTTTAACTCTTAAATACATTTTAAGATGGCAGCCATAAGTTAAAGTCCTTTGCTAATTTGTGCATTGTGAACCAAACTGTATGTCCATCAGTTAATTCTCTATATCAATGTTACTTTCTTATATTGTCATAAAAATTACATATATTATTCTTGTGCCAATCAAAATGAAAAAAGATGTTAATTTCAGCTGCACTGACAGAAAACCAGAGTCAACCAGGAGAAGGCTTTAATGTACTGCAGCAGGTCGACTTTTAAAATCCAGACGGTTAGAAGAGTCTTTGAGGATTTGTAAATACCGTCAGAGCAGCAGTAAGTGTGAAATACCTGTGTGTTTCCAAGATTGCTGGGTACTTATTTTTTATAAAAACGATGCTTAGCTCTGTGGGGCGAGCAGTGATGCCAAATGAGAGGCACAAACTGCAGCCTCGGTGGAACAGGAAATCTTGGTCACATTAACGACATTGCTCTGAGTAGCCACTCTTTGTAATTAAAACAATAGCTTGCTTTCAGAATCCTCAGAGGAGCTAAACTCCACCATGGCATGGCCAGCGTAGGTTTTTCCTTCCTATCCAGGGCTTTATTTAGATCCACAGATTGGCAGGGAGGTGTGTTAATTTCATCCCCAGGACGGGGCCCTCCAGCTGGGACCGTGCTCACTGCCCTCTCCCTGTTGCAGGATGATCAAGGAACACCCCCTGCCCCCGGGCTGGGAGATGAAGTACACCGCTGAGGGAGTCCGATATTTTGTGGACCACAACTCGCGCACGACCACCTTTAAAGACCCCCGGCCTGGGTTTGAGTCAGGGTAAATATATCTCAGGCCTTCCTCCCAAACCTGCTCTTGAAGAAAAATTAAACTATGTCATAGGCTAACGATAAGACATTCCCAGGAAGTGATCTGAAGTTAAAACATTAAGACAAGTTTTGTAATTTTGCCTGGGTCTGACATAACTGCATTTCAAATATTCATTTAAACTGAAACAATCCTCTCATTCTGTGTAAATCTTAAAAGATAATGAAAAGATCACGTCTGTCTAAACTACATCACCATCATTATTGAGCCTATGTTCATTGCCTTTCATTTTTGGCACTTCAGACAGGAGCAACTCAAGCGTCACAGTAACACATTCATACTAGCACACACACCTTTCTTCCTCTCAGCCTTTGGATGTCTGGCCTGCAAAGTCAGGAGAATGTGCCGTATTGTTGTGTGTTTATGTTCAGCATGCAGCTGTGTATTTGCTTGTGTGGTCACTACTGTAGATGGATTTGTGTGTACGAGTGAATCTGCGAGCTGCTTTTCATGCTGATATTTGACCATATTTTTAGGCTGGTGGTTGTGCAGGGCTGCTGCAACAGTCTTCACCTGTTTTCACGCTGGATCTTGCAGGAGTGTGTGTCCGTGGCCTGCGCATAGCTGCTTGCCATTTCCTAACCCAAACCAAAATGTGCCTGGCAGCTTGGCGAGCACAAACCCGATACATTAGAGGCCTCCTTCTTCTTCTCTGCCATTTCACTCTCTCCTCCCCCTTCCTCCCATTATCTGTCTGTCTCAGTCTCTCCTGTGCTGACAAGGCACATGCAGTATCCGGTGCGTGTGTGTGTGTGTGTGAGATGTGGGCTGGTGGAGCTTATACTAACACAGCTGTAGACCCAGACTCACCTCTTGTGTCTGAGCCGTTGTTTAGAGCAGGATGGCCGGTGTGTATCTAACATTTACTTTGAGTCTTTGGCTCAGAGTGGGCTACAGGTAACACCAGGGCCTCTTCTGTTGGCCAGCTGACCTGTCAGAAACCAAAAACACAACACACCAAGGTTGTTTGTTCCTTTTTGTAAACCAGGATTTTCCATGGATTTTACTTAAACAGTGTAAAACTGAGCTCATCTCCTCCCTCTGTCTCTTCGGGTGTGTGTTCAGATCACGACAGGGCGGCTCACCTGGTGCCTATGACCGCAGCTTCAGGTGGAAGTACCACCAGTTCCGCTTCCTGTGCCATGTAAGTGTTAACTGGAGCCTGTAGCCACTGTGTATTAAGTTAAGGTGTACATTAGTGGACTTTAGGTCTGGTCACTGAAATTGTACAAAGCCATGCTTTTACTCTTACCTTACCTGTGGTAGTATTCAGCAGAGAGTTTTGTCTATATTTGTCCAGATTCTTGCTTCCATTCCAGTACAGTGGAAGTGAATAGAATTGAATTTGTTGCACTCACGGCACATTTTAAAAAAGATAACAGCAGTGTCTTTACCCCTGTTCACCTGGACCGGCTTCACAGAACACACACTGAGCTGTTTGTCTAGCGACAGTTTATTTAGACGTAAGTAGTTCAGCTGAAAACTGATCAGGTCTGTGGAGCAGATACCTTCTTACAAAAATACATTGCTGTTTAACTTTTTAAACTTAACATCTTCAGTACTCTGGGCTTCGTAAACGTCTAGGTTCACCTCGAGTTTGTTGGGCTACCAAATGCAGATTCCTCAAAGCTTGGCATATAAAACAAAAATGATCTGGTGCAGTAAGGGAGAAAGTCAGGGCATACATGGAGCTATGAACCATCACTGTAAATTCCTGTCGTCTTTAGTCTCACAAGGATTAAGAGAATGTCTGTTCAACAAAACTATTTTTGCACACATGCACCTCTGTTTAAAATTGACTTCTAACCTCGTGATTTGTTTCCTCTGTCTAGTCCAATGTATTGCCGAGCCATGTGAAGATCTCCGTTTCCAGACAGACGCTATTTGAGGATTCGTTTCAGCAGGTCAGACAGGCACAAAACACACATCTCTGTTCTGTATCTAGGATTAGGGTTAAGGGGAATGAAATGAATAAATCAATGAATGTTAAAATTCTTAGAAGGTGTTACAGGACGTGGAAAATAAAATAATGGCTCAGTGATGGTCGGACGAAAAGGTGTGGTGGACTAATCCTACGTTATGAGATTCCTCAGATTTCATTTGAGCCTGTTTTAACCAAATGATCTGTAAATCAGGCTCAAATGACAAGACAAGCAAAACAGTCCCTCACTTTTCTATTCAGCCAAATGAACAGTAAAAATGAAGGAGTTGATACGTATCCAGTTCTCTGTACATCGTGCACGTTGCCTGTTAAAATGCATTGTTGAATTTGTTAATAGCATGTGTTTTGTGATCAGATCATGAATGTGAAGCCATATGACCTTCGCCGCAGACTCTACATCATTATGAGAGGGGAAGAGGGGCTGGACTACGGTGGCATCGCCAGGTGAGAGCCACATCAAAAGTTTTCTTCTCTGTCATTCTGTGTGTTCTTGCAAGTTTTATCTGTTATTTTAACATTTGTTTTTAATGTTGGTGGTGGCGTGTTTTCCCTCTTCCTGCCACTTCTCAGTCTTCACCTGCTTCCACCTCTTCTGGAACCAGCTTTTAAGTTAGTGTTAGCTGCAGTTCTGAGCAGGATTGAAAACGTTTCTAAAGGTCATAAAAAGGCCATGGGCAGTGAGGATGCAAGTGTTTTAGCTCAAGGTGTTTAAAATTTTCCACTGTTTAAAAACCCTGATTGTTGTGTAACTGTTTTGTCTGAGGGTAAACTGGTGTGACTGAGATGTGTGTGTGTGTAGAGAGGAAATTCTCCCTGGTTGTCAGCAGAGGTCATACTTGACTTACTGCTCCTGTAAATGTTGCTTTCTGAAACCATACAACACACCCTCCCCTCCACCAACAACCCTGTCCCCCTTCACCTCCCCCATCCCTCCATCCAGCCATCACATGTATTCATCCTGCACCCTGCGTCCGCTGTGTTCCGGGGTCTTTTTCTCTATATATGTTATTTCCCTGTTAGCTGCGTTTTCATTTTTCTGTTTGGTTTTGTATTTTGTGTCTGTTTCCAGTGTCACGTCAGTGGTTTTACCCTATGGTAGGTGACATCATGCTGTTCTACCACAGGGTAGAACCACGGACGGGATGTTGGGAGGTGTCTGCGTCCGTCAGCTCATCCCCTCCTCACATATATCCCACATGGGAGGGCAGGGGCCTTGGGAGCGCTTGGTTCTGATGCTTCAGCTGGTGGTGGTGGTGCTGCTGGTGGGCCCCCATTCTCTCTAACATGCATCCTCCCACAGTCCATCTTTGTCCTTTTTTACTCTACCCTGTTATATTTATCCTTAATAATCTGTGTTTTGTCTTCATCTACTTTATGTATCAAAGTTACGTTGTAGGACGAGTGTATGTTTGTTAAATGTACTGTGTATTTTGAAATTATACCACTATCCAGAGATGGCTAATTAAAAAAAAAAACATACGTGTTACTCTACACAAGACTGCTATTTAAAAAGCCCTTGATTAAAGGAATGAGGACAATACACATCTAATGTGTGTCTGTTAAATATACAGCTTGAGCTGTCTGATATTTAGCTAACTTAGCGTAAAGACTGGAAGCACAAGGAAATAGCCAGTCCACCTACCAGCACCTCTAATGCCCAGTTGTGTCCTGGACCTATCTCTGTATTCTGTCATCGATGTGAGGTTGACAGGTAACCTGCAGAGACTCCAGAGTGTCCCTGGTCAGAGATGCCAGGGGTGTCAGTCTTCTCATTTAACCCTCAGCAAGAAAGCCAACAACTGTTCACTCACTCTGTTTGCCACAGAATTAATTTGTTCAGAATTGGTCTTAATTCAGGCTGTGGAAAAATTTTAAAAATTGAATCAGACAGAATGAACAGGAATGAAACCAGTTAAGCTGATAAAGTGCGATTTGACCCAACATAGGTATTAAATCAAACAACAGAGCTGAAGAAGAAATACCATAGACGTATGTCATAAAGTGAACATCATCAGTGGTAAACATGGAAAGAATCTGTATATTTCATTTAATACAATGCTCATGCGTAGTGTGTTTATGTACATTTTGTTGACTATTATTTTCTATACAACTGTTCTCATTGCTCATGCTCTGTCCTTGTATTAGATATACTGTGATTGTTGTTTTATCAGTATTTGTTACAAGATGTCTTCTTTGCTCCATCATCTGTGTCACCTGTTCATCAGCACTCGTTCCTGGACCACAAAATGTGCTTTAGGTGCTTTGCTTCAACTGATCGTTGTGTGTCTGTTTACAAAGAAACTAACTCCCCCACTTCCTCTGCTAAAGCAACTTTTGGTGAAGGTGATTGCACTGACATGTTAAGCTTATGGAAGATGATTACGCATTGACTGCTGACATGATAACACTATGTCTCTGCTGTCATTTCTCAGCTTCTCAGGCCTTCAGAAAGGGTTGTATCTTCTCCTGCATAAATGTCTTCTGCCCTCTTGCTCTGCAGGGAATGGTTCTTCCTCCTCTCCCACGAGGTCCTGAACCCCATGTACTGTCTGTTTGAGTACGCTGGCAAGAACAACTACTGTCTGCAGATCAACCCAGCTTCCTCCATCAACCCTGACCACCTCACATACTTCCGCTTCATTGGACGCTTTATTGCCATGGTGAGCTTCACTGGGAAATAGTTTTATTAAACTTTGTTTTGGGATTTGATGTTCGAGGTCTTTCAAGCTGAGCTACAGAGGTCAGCACCTGTATTTTGCTGTTTGTTTTGTTTTTACCCCATAATACTTGCTTCTTAGTGTAGTTATTTTTTTTGTAACATAAAATGTTTGCTCAAACACACTGTTACTGTTACTGAATAGCAAGTTGTAAACATTTGATTTCTGACTACTCCAGGCTCATGACTCTTTAACACAACAACCATAGCTTGTTTAATTTCCAGGCATGGTTGTTGTGAGATGTGAACTGCCGAGTTTCACCACCTGAGTTAAAAAGAGGATGGCAGTCTAAATAAAGCAGAATAGTGTGACCACAACAAAACCAACCATTATGAACATTAGAACTGAGCTGTCGCTGCTCTAGTTGCTTCATGTTCTTATTATTACCTACATGCTGTATGGCAGCTGGCTCCAGAGATGTTTTTCCTTTGTATCATCGGCAAAGACAAACATTGTGTCCTCATGTGTAAGCTGACATATTTATGGGCTGCTTTTAAAGCTGTATTTTGTGAAGCCAAACTCTTATTCACTTGCTCCATTGGCACGAATTCTATTTTTCAGGTTTTCGGGGGCATTTTGCCTTTATATAATCATGTCAGTAGAGATATTTTAGTCTACATTTCACTGGAGGGGATACAGAGAGGTATGATATGCAGCGAAGTTGGATTGAACCAGTGGTGCTGTGATGTGTGTTACAGACCTTTACCACCTCCTCGCCACGTTGGGAGTACCTTCATAATGACAGTGCATGATGTACAGTATGTACTGTACTGCAGTGTCCTCTTTCTGTAGGTCCCAAAACCAACACCCTTCACCCCCGTTTCCCTCTGCCGCACCCAGCCCATACCCGCCAGCAGCTGCTTATATTTAGTCAGAAGATGCATTTTGCTGACTTGTCTTACAAAGATGCTGGTCAGTACCAACTCTCAACTGCCAGACTCTTACTTTACCTTTTTTACTTTCTGTCTTTGACCTCCATTTTCCACTGACACCTTTTGCTCAGTCTAAATTGTACTGTGTGTTTCTCGCTGGCTGTGAGACAGACACATGGTCAGCGAGGATACAGAAGGACTGAACAGACTATGGCTGAATCAGTCACTGTTGATTTTGGCTCACGGCAGCTCCAAGGCCTCTGAGGGCTTTTAACCTTAAACAGCTCCTTCTGGCTGAGTCTACTCGCTCGACCTCTTTGTGAACACACACAGAGGAAAGGTTGTGACTGAAGCGGTTCGTGTTAAATGCACACGTGGGCTTCGGGCACCTTTTCTCTCCACATCTTAGTCTAATCTTAGTGACTCCTTTTGACTTTTACTGTAAAAATAAGGAAAAAATGTACAGCCTAAGTCACTATTGTGGAATATAATTTTGAGGACAGATGTAAACACAGAAGCTGCTACTGTTTCCACAAAATAAATAAATTATGTATATATATATAATTGCCTCACAGCAAGAAGGTTCCAGGTTTGAGCCCTGGCTGACCCGGGGTCTTTCTGTGTGGAGTCTGCATGTTCTCCCTGTGCCTGCGTGAGTTCTATCCTGGTGCTCCGGCTTCCTCCCACAGTCCAATGACATGCAGCTTAGTTTGACTGGAGACTCTAAACTGCCCGTAGGAGTGAAGGTGTGTGGTTGTTTGTCTCCATGTCAGCCCTGTGACAGAATGGTGACCTGGGTGGACCCTGCCTCTCACCCAGTGTCAGCTGGGATTGGCTCCAGCCCCCCACTTGTTTGAGTCTCACCTGGAGCTTGGAGGAGTAGCTCCACCAGGAGAGGCCTGAGATCCCCCAGAAGCAACAGTCACATCCAAACTAATCAATAATCAATTTGGTTTTGACAGTTCTAATCATAAAACTAACTACATACAAGTTAAAACTAAAAACACTAAAGGTTTGACACCCCCCTTCACCTACTGTGAAGAACTAATAAATACTAGGATTGTATTTACTAGTATTTTATGTCATCTACATTTTATTTAAACCCCCTTCAGGTTTCTTGTAAAGGCAATGGATTGTTTAAACATTTCTAACACTTGAATGGGACAAAACAGTCCCCAGTGAAACATCAGTGCATAAACTGAGCAGCTGATATATTTGAAATATTTGTAATTTGTAAAGAACAAATGTCCCCAATGGCCATTAAATAGCAATTTAATAACCCTGGATTATAGTGGTTGGAAGAATACTCTTCCCCACTTGTGTACTTTGTTAGATCTGGGATTCAAACCTTACATGTCATCAGAATTAGTGAATCGAGTCTGCCTATTATTTGTATCTTTCTAAATGTGGGCAGTGAATCAGTTCCTTATTGTTGTTTGTAATGTCACAAATCCTCCCTGCAGGCTTTGTATCATGGAAAGTTCATTGACACTGGCTTCACGCTGCCGTTCTACAAGCGAATGTTGGACAAGAAACCCACGCTTAAAGACCTGGAGTCCATAGATCCTGAGTTCTATAACTCCATCATGTGGGTCAAGTAAGTAACGGGGACAGTATGTCTCTGAATATTTGTGCATGTGTGTGTTTATGTTGTGCTTACAGGGGTAGGAAGTGGAGAAACATAAAGGACATTAGTAAGGACAGTTTTCCATTTATTGTAACTTTGTTAGCTCTCTAATTAGAAGGTTTGTTATACCAGTGTGTGTATTGCTGTGTGTGTCCAGAGAGAACAACCTGGAGGAGTGTGGCGTGGAGCTGTATTTTGCACAGGACATGGAGATCCTCGGCAAGGTTTCCACTCACCAGCTGAAGGATGACGGGGAGAACGAGCTGGTGACTGAGGAAAACAAGGAGGAGTACATCAGGTGAGTTAACATAGGCCACCTGTTCACCTCCAGTGAAAGCACCTTCAGTAGCAACAAGTAAAGATGGAGTACAGACCATAAAAACCCAACCACTCTCCCCTCCCGCAGCCTGCTGACAGACTGGAGGTTCACCCGCGGGGTGGAGGAGCAGACCAGAGCCTTCCTGGATGGGTTCAACGAGGTGGTTCCTCTGGAGTGGCTTCGCTACTTTGATGAGAAGGAGCTGGAGGTGAGGAACAGTTTTCACTGCCCTTGGTATGAAGACCCTCAGAAAAAATTTTAAACTACTAAATCCTTTTGACAGTCATAAGTATTTCACTAATCAGTTTAAGGCTTTAAAATCAGCACAGCTCTGTTAATCCAGTAATTAGTCAGGTTATTTTATTTCCATGTGAATGTAGTGTTTATCCCTTCATCTTAATACACAGCACTGACCATTCACAGACATACTTTTCAGGTGTATGTTTCCATTTTACACCTATTTATAAAACACATAAGTAGATTTGTCAGCTCTATTTCTTTATTTTAGTGTTTACATTATCTTTAATTTAGATCCAGATGAAGAGAAGTCAGGAAGTACAGGTATAAATGCTAAATTTGTCTTTCTCATACTTTCATCTTAAATAATCTCTCTTTACATGGTATAAATATTAGCCATTTAAAAAGTAAAAAACAAATAATATTAACACCAGATAATTAACATTTAATACTGTGGCTGAGGTCAAATACAGTAAAACCTTCTAGATTAAAGCAAGTATGAAAAGGTATTTGCTTCCTTAAATATCTTAATAAGAGGTCTGACCGTGATTTAGTTAGTTGAATTAGTTTAGTCAAGTGTGGTAACACTGCTCTTTGCCTGCTGATGAGTCAGAACAAGACAAATGGAAAGAATAAAAAACACACAGCCACACCCACTGGATTTTAAACGTCCTGCCTCTGTTTGTTTGTTGTAGCTGATGCTTTGTGGGATGCAGGAGATCGATTTGGCTGACTGGCAAAAGAACACCATCTATAGACATTACACTAAGAACAGCAAGCAGATCCACTGGTTCTGGCAGGTGAGCACAAGGCATGGTGTTAGAAGTTAGCAGGCATTCAGACTTGAGTTTCAAATGTGTGGGAAAACGCAGGCACTCCATTCATTTCTATGGGGGATTTCCCTCACTGCAGCCGGGACTAGCACCACAGGGGGCTCCGGCAAAATGCAGCGGCCCCATGTTGCAAAAAAGTTGGATCTACGTCAACTTTTGCCACACCGGGTGGCGACATCATCCAGCAAAGGTGCTGCGCTAACCAATCATGTACAGGAGACAGATGGAACATGGACTCTCTTGTTTACCATGTTACCATTCTTGAATCTGGACCAGTTAACACACCACAATGACACACCATGTGTTTTCATTAGTTAGGGTACTGGGTGTTGAACTGTGGTTTTTAATCTACCAGTGCCGACAGACTGGTGGTAGAATTGGTGCCAAGGTAGAGTAGGCTACGTTAGCAGCATGGCTAACAACAGAAACTGTCAACCTGGAAATGTGAATTAAGCCACTCACATTGACTTGTCACAGTGTGGCTGTATCCTACATACCTACAACACTCCCCCTGCAACCCCTCACCCCCGACCAAGGCAGCCCCTTCCACTGAACCCAAGCAGCAACCTCCAAGGCTGAGAAACGGATCCAGTGTGAAGTGTTAAAACCCCCAGTCAGTCCCCACAGACTCCCATGGTAAAATACCCAACTTTACAGCAGAAATAAATGTTGAGAGTCTGATACAAAAAATTATATAACTAATTTCTCCCTTCCATGATAACTGTATGGGGTGTGAATTTTTATAGAACTCGCCTGTTTAAATTATATTTAGACTAAAATGTACGCATAACTGAGGGAATGGCCATTCTGAGTGACAGGTGGGAGGGCCCTGCCACAGGTGGCTGGCCACCAGCTGTCTAGGGCGCTACACTCGCGCTCCACCTCTTTGCCCATTTTTTAGATTAGCCATAGGAGGCGGAGTGAAGCATTAGCAATATGGAGGTGGCCAGACTTGAGCTTCCAAACTACTCTTCAGAAAACCAGTGGGTAATGTCACAGGGGGGTTGTCCTCCTTGTACATGCTGTAGAGTTGGTGGTTGAAACAGCAGTAAGTTGTGTTCTACCAGACTCAGTCTGAACGCCTGCTTGCAGACACACATACATCTGCTATGATGACGTTCGTTTGGTTCGGTGTGTATGAGGCCTGGTGTGAGTATCCAGAGAACAATCAAGTTGTGTTTGTACAGGTGGTGAAGGAGATGGACAACGAGAAGAGAATCCGTCTGCTTCAGTTTGTAACAGGAACCTGTCGACTGCCTGTTGGCGGCTTCGCTGAGCTCATAGGTACAGAACACTGATTTGCAATGCTCCACATTCATTGCTGTTAAGTGTCATTGTTCTTCAGTAAAAGTGAATGCAACTCAACTCTTCCAGAATAATTTTCACATTAAAAGTATTCCAGCTATACCATTCTTGGTGAGGCTGGAATACTTTAATACTTCCGTCTGTCAGGCACAACAAAAGTAGGAAAACTGGGATGTCTAGATGGATGATAACGGTGTTTCTGATGAAGAGAGTAAATAGTAAATTGGTATTTATTCCATGGTTAAAACTGGTAAAGAGAACAAAACCTCTCAGCATATTTGCTTTTCTAAGGAGTTTAAGTTGAGCTATGATTAAGTAACCTAACTTTTGTATCGTTGCAGGAAGTAACGGTCCCCAGAAGTTCTGCATAGACAAGGTGGGGAAGGAGACTTGGCTTCCAAGAAGCCACACATGGTAAGCTGCTGTCTCTTCTGTTACACTGTGTGGGAAGATATTTTTGCACAGAGGAAGACTGGTGGATGTGACTGAAAGCTCCAGAATGCTGGCAAGTGCACCTAGAAGCTAAGGTTGCTATATTACTGTTTTCATTGTCAGGCATGAACTTCAGTGTTCAGATGTTGAACATGTTAATCCATTTGTGCATGAAGAAGCAGCTGATGTGAATACAACTAAGTTAGTTAATGTGGCTAGAAATCCTTTGAAGAGTGTCACTGACTTGACTGGCCTTTACTCAGCACTATAGCGCATTAGCAGTGACTTCATGCAGCTGTGATATGGCTGTAGGGGAGTGAACAGTGAGGCTGGTATCAAATTACCAACACTAACACTGGATTACATGCTGCATCACTTCCTGTTAATCCCTCATGTGGAGGAAGGTGACGTGAACCTGGTGGGGGAATGGCAGGTTCCCCCGGCATCAATGAATACTGCTGTATAGAGGTAATCACAGCATGTAGATACACAGTGACTGGCCAGTGTAGAAAAAACAGTGACCATAAATGGTATCGGAACTGAAATCATGCTTGTGTAGAGTCTAATCACAGTGTTTTATTAGTATTAAGCATGATGGCTCATGACTCTTAGACTAGAGGATCTGTAGGAGCTTCCTCTGGATGGGCTCATAGTGAGCAGGACTGGAGACAGCCAAGACAGAAACAAATGGCATCTTATCAGTCATTTAGAAAGTGGACAACATCTGTTAATGGCAAACCAATATACTAGACAATACAATATTCCCATCTCTTCCTCACAGCTTCAATCGTCTGGATCTGCCTCCTTACCGAAGCCTGGAGCAGCTCAGAGAGAAACTCCTGTTCGCCATCGAGGAGACGGAGGGATTTGGACAGGAGTGACAGGAAGCAGGCACAGGGCGGCTACAAGAGAACACTTAATTTAGTGGGATAGTTTTTGTTATTTTTTCATTCTTATTATTTTGCATTTGTTAATCACAGGGCTGAGAAGTCACCTACCATCTGTATCCCCTCACCTGAGGGAGAGTCATGTTTGTCTACTGAATCATGGGTTAAAGCTGGTGCTGTGAGATGGCGACACAAGGACATAGACGAAGAGTGTGTATCCTTACATGTGTGTGTGTGTGTGTGTGGTTGCTCCTGTTAATGCCATTGTGTACATAAATGATGTGTATGTGGGTTTGACAGGATGACCTATATTTGACTAAGGTGTCACACACACACACACACACACACACACACACACACACACACACCTCTACTCACTGCTTAGAAATGCACCAAAAGCAGAAAGCAGGATAGTTTTAATATCAGCAGCAGCACAGCTACCCACAAATGCAGTATAACATATTTACCAGAGAGAAATACATTTTTAAAATCATAAAGTGACAAGAAAGAGAGAGAGATGAGGTGTGTGAGAGAGGCAGTGAATTAGAGGAACTGAGTGCATGTGTGTCTGTATACGAGAGACAGCCATTATCACAAATTAGTGCACCTCTGTTACCGAGGCTAGAGTGATAAGATGTGATTTTATTTTTTATTTTTCTGTTAATTGTGAAATTCAACATTTTTTCCTGTACATAACTAAAATAAATGAGATTTCAGTCTTGAGTTGCACTGCTTTTTTCATCTTGACATGACATATACAGGGTTCGTATAAGCCCTAATCATTCATGCAGTTTGAACTCCTATTTCATTTGAGAGTTTTGTTGTTCCTACATTAGGACCAGTAGCATTTTCCACACATCAGGGCACATTTTGTGGTTTGACTGGCAGAATCACGATAATTGAAAATACAGATTTGGACCTAACAGTTCAAACAAATGTTTCATATACAGTATGTCCACTCTTACTGTCCCATTGGCTGTCCTGTCTGCAACTTCAGCTACAGCAGTGGTGTCACAGACTCCAGTCTCTGGATACAACTGCAACTGGGAGGTTCAGTAGCTTTGGGCAATTATTGAAAACCCAGCAGTGGAAACACTACAGATGTATCACACTGTGTGAACATGGAGGATAACACTGGCAAAATTATTGTCAAAATTGAAATATTCTCATTATTTATTTGTTTGTTTTGGAGTCATAATCATGAAATTCGTTTTTCTCAGTAGCATGAGTGGTAAACAGTAGCTCTCTCACAGCTCCCACGGTGGAACATATGCATGGCTTATGGCCCACATGGTGTTGTCCCTCACACCAGTGACCAGCAGAGCAGCCTGGCCCACAGCCCTGCATAGTGAAAGAATACAGGAGGATCCTGTGGTGAGTGAACACAGAGAAGCAAAGCAATCTCTCCACAGGGACCTCTGACAGATGAGATCTGCACTGGGATCTGTATGCCTGGCTCAGTTTGTTCATAAAAGAAATGTCAGCTTGGGGCAAAATCAGTTTCTGGTTTTACATAAGAGCTGTAAGTGTACTGAGTGAGCACAAAGAGGCTCAGTGTTCTGCTGATGGCCATTACAGCACTGTGTAGCTAAATGGTGCGACGGACTGGACCAGTAGAAGCAGTGTGTGGACGTCAGCAACTGCTGCTACTACTACTACTACTACTACTACTACTACTACTACTACTACTACTACTACTACTACTACTACTACTACTAATAATAATAATAATATCATAGTATTCTACTTCTAAAAATGTTATATGTACCTTGATTTGCGTACTACGAGTGCCTTGCGAAAGTATTCGGCCCCCTTGAACTTTGGGACCTTTTGCCACATTTCAGGCTTCAAATATAAAGATATAAAACTGTAATTTTTTGTGAAGAATCAACAAGTGGGACACAATCATGAAGTGGAACGAAATTTATTGGATATTTCAAACTTTTTTAACAAATAAAAAACTGAAAAATTGGGCGTGCAAAATTATTCAAATCCACATAAGGGATGACGGCAACATTCATAGATCCTGGAATGCACAATGAGGGGCAATGTTCATTCCTATTACAGAGGCCCACTGAAATTTTTTTGAGGAAAAGCTGTGTTAGACTGCATATTGTTTATAGTAAAGTATTTTTATATACAAATATAAAAATGAAAATGTTTCTGGAGTGGGACTTTAATTAATTATAGAAGTTGTGCAGAAGCTGCCCATAGCTCTACACAGTGATCCATGTGTGTACTGTATGTGTTTCTATGCTGCTCCAAATGAGTCTGTTCTGGTTCAACTTGTCTTATTAAATGAGCTTAAAAATAAAGTGACACCTTAGTTATAAAACACTGAGCAGGCTGTAACACACAAGAGTGTGT